TCAGCTAACTCTAAACCCATCKCTGATGATGATGAAGAGTTAGAAAGCTSGATGATTTCTCACTATGGACAAYCTTAAGCTTTYTTCATCAAGCAATTYAGTGTTGACCCTCCAGAAGCTGATGATGATCCATATATCATTTCAKATGTGAATAATAACCACGRTGAATCCTCTTCAGGGATAGTTGCAGTGCACATTAGTCACTTACTMYCTTCTACTTCAAACACTAATCCTTCAGTCGCTGAAAACCCTTYAGTTTCTGAACCTCTACTAGTTGCTGAATYGCTCAYYGAGGCTCCTTTAGCAATCCAACCTRTTGTTGATGAATATGTTGTTGAAGCCTCATCTTCTATACCTGAGTTTCTAACCTCTGATGATAATCCTCTACCAGCTCAGYGATGGACGAAAGACCGTCCATTACATCAAATTCTTGGTGATCCAAGTRCAGGTATTCAGACAAGTYGAKGTCTAGGTAATATCTYTCTTTGTCAACTTTCTCTCTTTAGTTGAACCCAAAAAGATCAATGAGGCTATCTTTGAACCTAGTTGGGTCATTGTCATGCAAGAGGAACTCATTTAATTTTATAGAAACCATGTCTGGTACCTTTTCCYACGTCCATCTGACAAAACTATGATTGGCACCAAGTGGTTTTATAGCAATAAGTTAGATGAACAATGAGTTGTGACCCGCAACAAGGCTCGTCTTGTTGCTCAGGGTTACAAACAAGAAGAAAGAATCAACTATGACGAAACCTTCGAACAAGTGGCTAGACTCGAAGTTATTCGACTCTTTCTAGCCTTTGTTGCCCATAGAGACTTTAAAGTGTTTCAAATGGATGTAAATAGTGCTTTCCTTAATAGAAAACTTCAAGAGGAAGTTTATGTTGAACAACCTCCAAGGTTTCTTGACCCCAAGTATCCAAATCATATCTACAAATTGGATAAAGCTCTTTACGGGTTCAAACAGGCCCCTCGTGCCTGGTATGATACCCTTTCTTCATTTCTCCTCTCTGAGAAATTTGTCTATGGAAAGATTAACCAAACCCTATTTCTTAAGAAAATTGAGGATCATATCATTCTAGTCCAAATATATGTTGATGATATAATATTTGGTTCCACTAATCCCTATTTGTGTTTTCGGTTCGTTGAATGCATGAAGAAAGAATATCAGATGAGCATGATAGGAGAATTAATTTACTTTCTAGGTCTTCAGATTAAGCAATCAGATAAAGGTATCTTTATCAGTCAAAGTAAGTATGTCATAGATATGTTGAATAAGTTTGATCTATCAAATAGCTCATCTATGAAGACTCYAATGACTCCTCCTCTTTCACTGAATAAGGATCCAAATGRAAAGCCTGTAAACATAACCATTTATAGATGAATGATTGGCTTCCTGTTGTATCTCACAGCAAGTCGTCCAGATATTGTGTACTCTACTTGTTTGTGTGCATGATRTTAGTCTGAACYTAAGGAATMTCATCTGATTGCTCTAAAATGCATCTTCAGATATCTGAAGGGAACTYCTAACCTGTGTCTTTGGTATCCCAAGGGTTCAGGTTTTGATCTTATTGGCTATTCGGATAGKGATTTTGTAGGTTGCAAAATTGATAGGAAAAGCACCACTGKAAGTTGTYGGCTTCTATGTGGAAAGTTGATGAGCTGGACAAGTAAAAAGCAAAATTTAGTGTCCACATCAACTGCTGAGGCTGAATATGTTGCTGCTGGAAGTTGTTATGCCCAAATTCTTTGGATGAAAAACTAGCTAAGTGACTATGATCTACAACTTTCAAGATCTTTATCTATTGTGATAACACAAATGCTATTGCTATTGCAAATAATCTTGTTCTTCACTCCAAGACCAAACATATTGAGATCGGATATCATTTTTTAGAGATCATGTTATGAATGGTAATATTGAAYTTCACTTCATACCAACTAAGTACCAGCTTGCTTACATTTTTATACAACCTCTTTAGGAGACAAGATTCAACATCTTGATCAGTGAACATGGAATRYTGAACGTTGAGGATTAACTCTTCCARCTATAAGCAATACTCAGTAAGTGAAATGATTCAGTGTTCTCACTCTATCACTGAACTCTTGAGTAAATATATCTTCTCTCTCTCAAGTATGATTACTTATCTTCTTATCAAATTTCAAAATTATCACTAAATCTTTCCATATTTAGTGATCAAATTGTTTAAAAAAAAAATTCTTTAGTGCTCTTTATATGACTGAACCTTTGTAAGAAAGTATATTGTTATGGTATATTTACTTGTCATTTCTTAAAACAAAACCATCACTGAATCTTTTTTATTAAATCGGTGATTAAGACGTTTTAAAAGTAAAATCTCTTCAGTGATTTTCTTTATCACTGAATCTTTTAAACTTGTACCTTTTCTAAATGATATTTTCTGAAAAACTGATGCTGAATATTCTATATTCAGTGATTCTTTTCTGTTATAAAAGATTTAAACATTTTTTTGATTAAAAGAAAATGAAAATTGAACGGTCATAATTTATATGATGTCATTTCTCTTTTAAAATCTTATACGATTTTTTTAGACGCGCGCATCATTCTGACACACGCGGCCCTTTGGAATTCCGTCCAATCGTGAATGAGGATGTGCAAACCTTCATCATTGCACATATTTTCAAGTCGTATTTTCCTCTCTCTTCTTTTCTATTTCTCTATCCTATTACCTATAAATATGAGATATTTTCTCTCATTTCTTCTTTACGCTTACAAAATCTTGTCGAAACTCTGCTCCCAAGAATTTCGCAAAGCAAGAACTCAAGAACTTTCAAATCTATTTCAACCTTTCTCTTCAAATCTCAGGTTGATAATCTTCTTTCTTTATTTTGAACTGTTCTTCTTCTTCTATGAAGCTCTTGTTAAATATTTTTAGAGCTCATTCTTTTGAAGGCTAACAAACGGATTATTAACTCATTCTATTACTTGGTTATAATCTAGGTTTCAAAACACTTACTCATCTTGAAAAACCCTAAATATTTTTTCCTGGTTTTCAAAAGAAGTTTTATCTTTCAAAACTTATATTTTACAATTCTAACAAACCTGTATTACCTTCTATTTTCTCTTGTATAAATAGAAATGGCAGCAAGAAACGTGAACTTCTCTCTCGATGAAACTGTCCTTCAAGGCAAATAACCATGTTGCTCTTTTGGACATCACCATCAACAAACCCCACTTTGAGGATGCTACTAACTTCCTCAAAAACTCCAATATCTCATGCACTAACCCATGATCCAGTCATGGTTAGAGAATTCCTTCAGCAATTTTGGTTCACTACTGAAGTGAAATAGGAGACTGACAAGACTGGGAACCAGGTAGAGAAAATCTCCTTCACCTTCAACAGGATGACCGTCAGTTTTGGCGTAACCACTATGAGGATCGCTCTTCAACTACCTAAGGGTCCCTACTCCAGTAAACCTTCCATTGAAGATATCATCTCTTATCTAGATGATATTGGCCATAACTTGGCAACAAAGAAGGACTCTAGCGCACCTCTCAAGTCGCTATCGGAGGTTGAGAAGAACCATATGTCTACGGTTTGGCAATACTTGTTTTCCCATTTCATTCAGTGTATGGGAGGCAAGACTGGTGACCAAGACCAAGATTCCAGAGTTTCTCTTAACATTGGCGTTTCTATCACTCGGCAGATGAAGATCAACTTTGTTGGAGTTATTTTCGAAGACCTAACGCTAAAGCAGAACAAGTGCCAGCGAGAAAAGGTGGTGCCTTACACCAGATTTATGTGTATGGTATTTGCTAAAATATTTAGCAATAAATACCCCACAGAAGGCAACTTGCCTATTTGCAGGCTTGGGTCTAGAATCTTGAACCACAAGTCTAAACCTGCAGGTATTGGCTTGTTCGCACCAATGCTTGCCATCGCCCATGGCACAGGTATGTCTTCTACCCCTTCCTCTTCTCTCCCACGGGTGGTCAGGACTGAAGCAAACCCCCTTCAGTCTATCCCAACCACCACCACCATATCCTCTAAGAGGACCTTCTTTCAAGCCACACTTGGTCCTTCATCGAGGGCCAAGAAAGCTAAAAAGAGGCAAACCAAGTTGTTGGTTGTTACCTCCTACTAGGTATCAGTCATTGAAACAAGCCTTATCCCCAAGGGGCTTTCTCTTCTACCCCATCTAGCTCTTCAATGATCTCCTCAGACACTGTCGTACATGTGGCTCCTCTCCCCACTGCCTCAGTGACTCAAATCACTGAAGGTGTAAATATCAACATTGCCACTGCTGAACTTCCACTCCTTTCTTTCTCAGCCATTCTCTCCTCCCCTCCTTCTTTATTCTCAAAACATGCTGGTGATTGATCAGTGATTGTCCGCACTAGTGACAAAGCAATCATCACAGGACTTGAGGTCACTCCTCTCGGGGTGCCTCAGTCACAGAAAACCTATCCTCTCAAAGGCAACCTTGAGAGAACCAACATCAATCCTTCAGATGATGCAGAAGAACCTTCAGATACTTTACCATCTTCCTACCCTTTCATTTCTTCTAACCAAAATCTCTCTTTTGCTTAGTTTTCATCTTCTCTTTCAGCCAAGGAGTCTGACTATGATATGGCTGAAGATGTGAAGCTCATAATCCCGATGGTAGCTACTGTCTTGGACAAAATGACACAAGTCCACCAAGACATGCCTATCAAGGAAGACCTCACCTCAGGCCTCTCTACTGTCAAAGTTGAGATTAATGAGGTGAAAGAGTTGTTGTTTGCAGTACAAGTTGATGTTCGCACCAACATTGAGGCCATTTCTGCTCCAAATAGCAAGGCCGATGAAGTACAAGCTCAGCTTACCAGACATGGTGAGCTGATGGAGCATATACTTAATCTTCTTCAACATCCCTCACCAGTTCCTGAACCTTCTTTCACACCCGCTAATCGAAAATCTACGGATCAGGTGCTTCAGCTTAATATCATCTAAGATTAGGCTCTGATCGATCTAGAGCAGCGAATGAATGTTATTGTGAATAGTCTTAATGATCTCACCTCTCGTCTTGCTACTGCTCCTACAACACCTGCTGATGCTGACGCTTTAGATGAAAGGTCTCAAGAAAAAGAAGATGAAAGGTCTCAAGCAAAAGAAGATGAAAGGTCTCTTCCTCAAAATTTGATTCTGGAATCTGAAGCTGATGTTGAAGTTGTAGAACCTATTATTATCCCTCACTCTAAGGATGCCATTATATCCCATGAAGCTGAAGCAGTCGCTGAAGCTGAAAATGATGATGATGCCGTCATAGCTACTGTTGAAGACGTAGACCTTCCCATCAGCTCTATAGCTAATGTCGGTGATGAGGAAGATGAGGAAGAAGATGATGAAGCTTATGATTCTCTTTCCCTACCTGATACTGGACAAGACTTAGGTGATGATGATGATGATGATGATGGTGACGACGATTATGATGACTTCACCATTCAATACCACACCAGACCTGTCCCTGCTAAAAAAAGAGTCTCTCTCATGGAATCTTCATCCCAGGGGGAGAAAGAGAAATCTTAAAAGAACCAACACACCTTCTCCAAGAATAAAGGTGTCATGGAAGATGGAGACTTGACTGTTCTTTTCAGCCCTATCGATCTCTCAAGGATTGCTTAGTTCTCCTGGTTTGCTACCATTACTTCTCGTTCTCAACTTTCTACTATCACCTCCTCTATTACCTGTGATCTTCTAGATGAAAGGATATTTCCTATTCCAACATCTGGAGCTCTTATCGACCAACAGATGATTCAAATAAGGGAGTCCCTCAACCAAACCAGAGTAAAAATTCCTCTTCATAGCTTTGGTTCTGGTGAGTTCGACTTCATCACAGATGCTGAAAGAGAGGAAGCACTCAAGGCCGAGGGAGATCTTCGCATTCAACGTCAACAGACTGAAGACAGCCTCAAGCTGGCCAAGTCACTCACTATTAAAGTTGTTCCTAAAAGGAAAGTCTAAAAAGATGAACCCTGACAAGGCTCAGGCTCAGTTGCTCTCACAAGCTGAAAATGAACATCAGAGAGCATTGGCACTGAGAGACCGTGACAAGAGATGGTGCGAAGATCTCTTAAAGAAAAGAATAAGTCTCCATCGCATCTTAAATGTCACAATCAATGAACAAATGAAAGATGGAGGAATGCTCATCTCTATGGTCATCACCAGAGACAACCTTGATGCAGTCACTGAATATCCTTCCTACCTTGGTCAATATGGCTACAGTAAATGGCTGGAAATATGCCAAGCCATTCAGTGCTCAAAGTCAAGGCACAAGAAAGTGAGCGAAGACATCCTCAATGATCTTGTCAAGAAGATGTCCAGGTATGTTGTTGTTCCTTCAGTGCCAACATTAATGCCAGGTAGAAGAAGAAAACCTTCAGATCCTAATGATGGACTAACTCTGAGGAATGAACATGAAACAAGGTTCTCCTTAGAAGAAATCCTAAATGATTCGAAGAATCCATATATGTCTATTTTGAATCTCATTTTGTCAGCGAAGGGTCCTTATACACCCAACACTATGCACTTCAAGCCTGAGTATGGACTTATGTTCATTAACTATGATGGCGAGTACAACTTTCAAAGAGTATCTAAGTTTCGTCTCTGTCCAATAGAACATCTTGAATTTCTAAGATCTTGGTTGGATAATAACTTAAATGGTGAGATGATGGATCATAGGATCAGAAAGGAATATCTACGTCGAAAGAAGCTTGGAGAAGAAGTACCTGGTTACATCAACTTTAGTGACTTAGATTAGCTAAAACTTTCTATCTTGTAAATCTTGTTTTCTATATCTTTTCTTTCAGTGTACAACTTATATGTAATGTAATAAGTCCATAACTTACGTTGTAAAACTTGTATCTTTTCAATGAATAATATAAATATTTCTTCAGTATCAATGAAATAGATCCCAGAAAAGAGTAATAGGGACATKTATCTATRAGTTCCAATTCACTCTTRCATTTACWAACAACTTTCAGTCAGTAAACATGCTTTCAGTTTCAATTACCACTCTTATACTTGTTTCTCCTAAAACTTGTAATCTTTTACAACTTAAGAAAACTTACTTAAGAAAACTGTATCACTGAAAAAGATCCCAAAATAATTAAAAGGGACTTGTACTTTACTTATAACTTTTTTCTTACTATCGTATCTTAGGCAATATTCTTTATGTTGCTTTGTCACCATCAACAATGGGGAGATTGTTGATCTTCTCTCATTGATTTGATGACAACATCTTTTACCTATCAAAGTATAGTGTTTCTATTTATTCAGTTTCAATGATCATCACCAACTCTGTTCAGTGATCGCTAAAACATGCATTGTAACTCTCCAGTGACTCTTATACTTCAAGAAGACAAAACTCACACCAAAGAACCTTCAGCAATGTCAAAGACAAAAACTGAAGATTAGAGAGTAGTACGTTTGTAATTTGAAGAGGCATTTAGTGATTACAAACTAGTCAACATATGTGTGAAGACGACACAAGCCTCAACGAATGTTGAAGAGACCACTAGTGTCATCCCAGCATTCAGCGATCAAATGAAGCTTACCATGTACGTTTTTTTTTGTCTTATCCTTTGCTCGTCGGTTTATTCAACCTTAGATTCCAACACAAAAATAGAACTCGGCGCAAGTATACACCTCGAACTACTGTCGTCTCGTAACAAGTAATAATGGTAAAAAGTACCAGATTATCGTTCCCACAGAGATAGCTTGTAAAGTTAATTCAAAAAGTCCAGTTTATAAAAACTAATTTCAGAAGGCGAAACAAGATATTTGATTTATCTAAAACGGGGAGATTTGTTTATCAACTAAGAAAATATCAATCTTAAAAAGAAGCACAGGGTGCAACAGTTGATTAAGACTTTAAACAAATGATTCAGTAAAAAGGTGACATAGCATTCCTGTCATAATTATCTAAAATCAAAAAAATGATTTTATATTACTATGACAGTATCAACTATCGGGTCAGACGGCCTCC